GTCTGTCTGTCTACCTCTATCATCTGTTATCTACCTACCATCTACCTGTCATCTGTCTTATTTACCTACTATTATCCATCTATCTGTCCATCTATATCTACTGTCTGTCTGTCTACCCTCTATCATCTGTATCTACCTACCGTCTGTCTGTCCATCTGCATCTACTATCTGTCTGTCTACCATCTCTCTGTGTGTGTGTCTATCTATCATCCATCCGTCCGTCCATCCATCATCTACCTGTCATCTGTCTTATTTACCGACCTATTATCCATCTATCTGTCCATCTGTCTCTACTGTCTGTCTGTCTACCCTCTATCATCTGTATCTACTATCTATCTGTCATCTCTCTGTATCTAGGGGATATTTGTTGCCTCCAAACTTTGGGCAAAATCCTAATTATGTGGGGACCAGTTACCCACCAGCTTCCATGACATAGAAGAAAGTAGGCAGAAACACCCAGGGTCTCAGAGTAGCAGCAGAGGAGGGAGCAGAGGCAGGGGGAGTGGGGAGTAGCTGTGATCCTGGCGGCGGTGATTTGGGGGTGGCACCAAAGGCCTGGTGGGGCAGGGATGGGATTCAAGAACGCTCAGTGGAAGTTAAGCCAGAGAGACAATATACATAAAATACCAGTGATGAGCATTCAGAAAGCACACCTGTCCAGGGCCACTTAGTGTGTGGGCCAGCAGCCCACCACGTCACCTTCCCTGAAGATGATGCTGTAGCGCAGCAAGCCAGGGAGTGGTGAGTTTGTCAGTACAAGGCTGAGTTATGCCCACCTTGTACTCAGTTTGAGAAACCAAGGGGATTATATACCACATTTTAGACAAATTTCCTTTCCAATAGTTAGAAAGTTTTAATGTTTTGTATTATGATTACGAGGAAAATGTGCATTGTGGAATAAATATTTTACCCCCCACCCTGTGAGGCATCTTTAAGGAGCCCTGGTAGCACAGTGGTTAAACACTCAGCTGCTAACCAAAAGGTCATTCAGACCCACCAGCGACTCCACAAGAAAAGAAAAGATGTCAGTCTGCTTCTGTAAATATTACAGCCTTGGAAACCCTCTGGGGCAGTTCTACTCTGTCCTAGAGGGGGGCTATGAGTTAGAATCGACTCGCCACTAACGGGTTTTAATGGAAGGCATTTTTAGATTTATTGTGGTAAGTAAATCTGTAACAAAACATTTGGCAGTTTTACATTTTCCACACGTACAACTCAGTGACATTAATTATGTTCATCACTTACACCAGGCACTTTTACTCTGTGCATTATAGCAGGCTGGGTGTGCCCACGTGCTTGTAGAAATGAGAAGATGGAAGAAAAATGTTTGTATCACCAGAGTGAAAAACAGAGCTACTAATTCGTGACTTTCAGGATTTCTGAAGGCTGCTGTTCACCAAGTAGCCAGTGAGGTTGGAGCTCTTAACTGCGTGTCTTGAGCCAAAGGCTGGAAGACAGGACATCCCTGTCTCCTCGGCCCGTCCTGTTAGGTCTCACGCCCACCAACATCCTCACACAGGCTCCACTCTTCCATGTCAGCGCCTTCACAGCCGCCCTTCCTGTTCTGCGAAGCCCCTTCCCCACCCTCTGCCCAGCTAACCCTCATCAGTCTCCATCTCTTAGTTCCCAGCTTACACGTTCCTGCCTCCAAGTTGGGATCACAAGGACAAGCGAGGTACAGTTCTTGTCCTTACAGAGCTCATGAATCAGTAGGAGAGACGGTCACACACACAAAAGATGACTCACGTGGTATTTTAAGTTCCACAGTGGAGACGAGTGAGCATGTTGTGGGAATGGAGTAGAAGCCAGAGGGTAAATGAGGTCGTGAGGGCTGGTGTCTGAAGTCAAGGGAGAAAGAGCCAAAAAAGGTTCATGGAATCAAATAAGCATCACTGTGTTTTATCAGTCAGTTTAGACTTTTCTTCTGACATCGGGGAGAGCGGAGGGGAACAGAAAAACCAGGAGCCCTGAGCCATGATTAAAAAAAAAACCATGACCGTCAAGCTGATTGTGACACACAGTGACCCTGTAGGACAGGCTGTGACAGCAACGCACTTACCTACCTGGGTGTTCAGGCTTCAGAAGGCCACGTTACTGTTCTGTTATGTAAATATCTGAGCACACTTGCTTAAACTGTTTTCAGAAATAGCACAGATAGAGTAGATGTAAAATTACATTATTTTACTTTCATTCTTACTGACATCCAGAAAAACTAAACTGATATTCACAGTATTACTTGAGATGACATTGTTCATATTATGTATGTATAGATTTTTTTTTCTAGCTTCTAATTACTGTAGGGAGTCTGGGTGGTGCCCATGGTTAACGTACTCAGCTGCTAACCCAAAGGTTGGAGGTTTGAGTCTCCCCAGAGGCACTTCGGAAGAAAGGACTGGTGATCTACTTCTGAGAAGTCAGTCATTGACAACACGATAGAGCACAGTTCTACTCTGACAGACATGGGGTCACCATGAGTCAGAGATTACTTGAAGACAACTGATTTAATTACTGTGTAGAATATAGACACATAATTATATACCTGCTTCACTGATGGAAAACACACCAGACTTAATTGTAGCTGACTTCTTTCCAGCATTCCTCCTTGCTTCATGGGGTGGTCACAATTCTGATTATGATGAAAGCAAAAACAGAAAAGAAAACACATCAAAAGTCACAGAGATGTGCTGCTCCTTTAAAATACCTTTTTCTATCGTTTTGCACTCTGGTGTTTATGGTTTCATTAGTTAAAAAATGCTGTAGTTCTCTCCTAATCTCTTATCTTTTTAAAATAATTTATTTCCTTAAATATGCACAGCAAAATATATACCAGTTCAACAATTTCTACACGCACAATTCAGTGACATTGATTACTTTCTTCGAGTTGTGCGACCATTTTCACCCTGCTCTTCTGAGTTGTTCCTCCCCATTAATACAAACTCACTGCCACCTAAGTTTCCTGTCTAACCTTTTGAGTCGTTGTTGTCAATTTGATCCCATATAGATAGTTCTTAAAACAGCACAGTGCTCAAGGCAGGCATTCTTTACTAATTAAGGTAAACTGTTGTTTGGTTTAAAGAAGACTTCATTAAGGAATTTGTAAAAAACCAAACCAAAATTACAAGAAATATTAAAGGGAGTTCTTTGGTTAGAGGACCAACAATATCTGACAACAACCAAGACTAGAACACAGGACAAAACAACCAGATACCAACCCAGATAGGGAAGTCATAAAAATAAGTCAAAGCTAAGAGGCTGAAAATAGGGAAACAGAGACATCAATATGTAAATGATGACAACGTTAAAACAACAGAATAAATAGTGTAGTCATAGAACTTCCATATGGAGAGGAAGTTAAGGCAATATCAAGAAGTAAAAAATTGGTTTAAACTTAGATAAAGATAAATTTTAAGGTAAGCACAAAGGAAACTAACAGATGAAAAGAAAAACAAACACTCAGCAAACACAAAATCAATAATAATGAAAAAGATAAAAAGAAAATACATAAAGAAAAATGACTCAGCACAGAAAATTAAGAGGAACAAAGAAACTGTCAACACAGAAAAAATACACCAAGATTGGTGTCTGGGGTCTTAAAAGCTACCAAGTGGCCATCTAAGATGCATCAGTTGGTCCCAACCCACCTGGAGTAAAGGAGAATGAAGAACACCAAAGACACAAGGAAAGTATTAGCCCAAGAGACAAAAGGGCCACATAAACCAGAGACTTCATCAGCCTGAGACCAGAAGAACTAGATGGTGCCCGGCTACCACCAATGACCGCCCTGACAGGGAACACAACAGAAAATCCCTGATGGAGCAGGAGAAAAGTGGGATGCAGAGCTCAAATTCTAGTTAATGAGTCTGACAGAGACTGGAGGAACCCCTGAAACTACGGCCCCCGGACGCTCTGTTAACCCAGAACTAAAACCATTCCCAAAGCCCACTCTTCATACAAAGATTAGACAGGATTATGAAACAAAAATAATAGACGAGGAGTGTGGTTTTAGTTCAGTCAGATACATGAGACCAAATGGGCAACTCCTGTTCAGAAGGAGGATGAGAAGGCAGGAAGGGACAAGAACTGGCTGAATGGACACAGGGAACCTTGGGTGGAAAGAGGGAGTGTGCTGTCACATTGTGAGGATTGCAACTAGTGTCACAAACCTATACGTGTATAAATTTTTGTATGAGAAATTAACTTGATGTGTAAACTTTCACCTAAAGCACAATTTAAAAAAAGAGTAAAAACTCAAGCGATCCAATTAAGAAATGGGCAAAAGATGTGAACAGACATTTCACTGAAAAAAAATCCAGATGGACAAAAGCCCATGAAATATACTCAGTATCATTAGTCATTTGGGAAATGCAAATTAAAATCAAATGAGTTATCACTACACACCTATTAGAACAGCTAGAATAAAAAATAGTGATAATATCAAATGAGGGTATTTGATATTGATAGGAGTGTAAAATGATGCAGCTACTCTGCGAAATAGTTTGGCAGTTTTCTTACAAAACTGAAAACAAAAAGAAGGCTTCAGGGGATATTTTTGGTTTAGTGTTTAAAGATTATCTCAGGGCAGTAGGTGTGGATGTTCATCCAGCCTCAATGGCTCCAGAAAATCTGGATTCTATGAGAATTTTAAATTCTTTTCACAACCCCCACCCCTTTGATCGGGATTCTTCTGTAGAGTCTTTGATCAGAACATTCAGTAGTGGTGGCTGGGCACCATCCAGTTCTTCTGGTCTCATGGCAATGGCAACTAGCCACACATTCCACGAACACAAATGTATCAAGTTGTATGGCACAACATATCAGTGCTGAAAAGTTCACGTTGGTTTGCTGTCAGCATTGGAATGTGGCAGTAGTACAAGTTTGTGATGTGAGGAAATGAAACAATGCAGTTTATTTCAGATTCAGTAGTTGAGAGCTAGAGAGTTATAGATGCTCACAGACGTTTGTTTCCTTTCTCATTAAAGGTCATTTGGGCTCCACTTCAGAACATGCTGTCGGTGATGTGTACAAACATCCAGTTCCCAGGGTAGCGCTCACTCTCAGTTCTTTCCATGCTGCTCTGCCCGTCAGATGCTATTCTGAAGTTGCTCCTTCTCACGAGGCTGCTGCAGTAACAAGCGAGAACATCTCGGTTCATTTCCCTTCAGTTGTGCCCAGAGTCTCAAAGTTTCTCCCTCAGCACTGCACTTCTCTGTTGGGCTAGACCTGCAGCACGTGTCCCCACTGCCTGGTAAGTCTTCCTGGGTCCGGGGGCCAGACGGGGTGCTCTCACCCCTGCCTGTCAGGGCCCCTGACTTCGTGTGGTTGTTATACTCTGGACAGAAACCTCTCAGACTGGGGCCCAAGAGCTGTAGTGGATCCTAAGGCCCTCCCTTCTGGTTAGCTAAAACCAAGTGGAGTTAACCCAAGCTTTCCTGCCGTGCAGGACTGGGGTCTAGACACACAGAATCCACGCACCTGGACGTGGCCTGGCTAGTTCGACCTTAATCCATTTAACCTTGATGACCAATGGAACCTGATGTTTTAGTCTCGATTGTCCCTCTACCAGTCTGTTCCACTCAGAGCACCTGCCATACCACATCCTACTTCACTGTTGTCACCCTCAGCTGGCCCCACAACTGGCAGCTGCTTTGTTTGTGCTCCTCTTTGGCCTCCAAAGCCTGTGCTTCTCCCACCAACCAGGCTGATGTCCTCTTTCCCACAGGTTTATGGAGCACCCATTGGGTTTTGGCAATGTGCTCAGTACTAGGCGTGTGGGATGGAGGGACTGACATGGTCTCTCCTGGGGAAGGTTTAGTGCCGTGGGCTGCAGACATAGGAGCAGGCAGCTGCAATATGCGTGATGACATGCACTGCGATGAAGTGAAGGATGTGATGGAGCACATAGGTGGGGTCGCCTAATCTAGACTTGGGAGAGATTGTTGTTATTGGGTGCCATCGAGTTGATGCCGACTCATAGTGACCCCATGTGACAGGATAGAACTGCCCCATAGGGTTTCCTAGGCTGCAGTCGTTACAGGAGCAGATCGCCAGGTCTTTCTCCTGCAGAGCCACTGGGTGAGTTCAAACCACAACCTTTCAGACAGCAGCAGAGCACTTAATCACTGTGCCACCAGGGCTCCTTTGGGAGAGGTTAAGGATGGCTTATCTCTGGAAGAATAACAACCTCAGCTGACATCTGAGGAGTAAGAATTAGCCAGGCAAAGAGGTTAGGAGCTGGGGCGAGGAGGGAAGAGTGCTCCGGATGGACGGACCAGCTGTGGACACAGTGGTGCCCTTATGTTTTGGAAGAGCTGTCCAGATCTGGGGGAAGACTTAAACCTGCTTACAGTGGACTTCTGGTGACCTTCACAGAGCTGCTAATGCTTAAGCACACGAATAATAGCTAACATGTTTTGAGTATAGTATTGGGCCAAATACTGTAATTGCTTAATGTGGAAGATGTAGTAAGTCCTCAAAACAGTCCTTTGAGGAGATACTGTTATTCTCTCCACATGACATCTGTAAAACAAGAGTAATAGTGACCTTCCCACAAAACATTTGTGAGAAGAAACTTTTAAAAAAGAATTACAATGCAATTGAAAAATATGAAGTGTCTTCAGACATAAGGAGCCCTGGTGGTGCAATGGTTAAGCGCTTGGCTGCTAACCCAAAGGTTGGCAATTTGAACCCACCCAGCCGCTCCGCAGGAGAAAAGACCTGGCGATCTACTCCCATAAAGATTACTGTCTAGAATACCCCATGGGGCAGCTGTACTCTGTCACATGGGGTCACTGTGGGTCGGAATCGACTCAATGACATCCAACAACGACAGACACGATAATGTCACTAATGATGATAAAGGAGTCCAGCAGGAAGACGAGGGTGAATGAGAGAAAAGACTGCAACATTATTACTATTTTTACTGTTGATCGATACTTTCTGTAATTTTTTGTTGGAGAATTACTGCAAGGAAATACTTACAAGAATACATAGTTCCTATTTTAAAGCCTGTAGGTTTATTCACCTGGAGGTGTCACGTGGTCTTGCAGATCAGCGGATAAATACGGTAGCTTTAGGACGTGTGATGTTTTGAGGAAGAACGAGCCAGGGTTCAATTAACGTGGCTTCTCCCCCCTTTGCAGCAGCAGTCTTAGGCGTAATAGCGCCCGTTTGAGGTCCACACTCTAGACCACCCACCGGGCACTGTTTGACAGTACAGGAAGACTGGAACGAAGAATGATCTTGAACGCTACACCAGAGACCTCGTATCAAAAGAATTTGTACTGTACAGCTTCTGGTAAATGAGCTGAAAGTCTCTGCAGACAGAAAGGCAGAGAAAGTGCAGGTCACCTACTTTCACTTCTCTCCGTACCTAACAGATCTTCAATCAGAAAGCTCCGAGGAAATCTGGCCTAGATGATCTAGACTCTCTTTTCTCAGGGAAAAAAAAAAAAATTCGTGATTTATGGAAAAAGAACACCATAGAGAAGATCCATGTAGACTTGCTAATGTGGTGAGATTAATACCCCAGTGTCACCGAATACATGTATTGTAATTTGATTCGTGTATTCAGTATCACGGTTAATTACTGTCACTTATTTCTAGGCAGTGTTTTTCCTAGATTTGACATTTTAGAGAATTACCTTCCTTATTCACCGTCCAAACCAGTATATCTAGAGGTAGACCAAAAGAGGTGTTTCCCGCCTCACCCAACGGCTAACAAATAAAGTAATGTGCCTGCTTGCATTTTACAGTCCCTTGAGTGAAATGAGAGCCAGCAGGGAACTGTTTTTTCTTTCTTTCTGGGTCTTTAGTAGGTTTCTGCTGTCTTTGTTTTTCTTCTCCTCTCCCCTATGGGTGTTAGACTATTGAAAATAAGGGGAGAAACATCTGTTTTATATTGCATTGAACATTCTTATGTATAACATAAGTTTTACTGTTAAAGAAAATATTCAGTTTACACTCTGAAGATGGTAACTCATTTTTGTTTTGTTTAGTGAATATATGTTCCTTATTTTAATAGTACTATGTAGGGAATTTAATTTTACTGGATTTTTATTTGAGAAGCTTAAAAGTTATTTTAGGCACAGCCTAAATAAATATCGTGTAACTTCTTTGGAGAGGCCAAGAGGATGGATTCTGTGGATGTTTGACCATCTTTATAAAGGAACCAGAAGTTTCCAACCGAGGTGCTGTGCTTGTTATTATAAATGCGTGCCTGTCTGCCTGACTCTTGCCTTTAGGAATAATTGCTTTGACCTTGTAAGACAGCCCGTTGAGATATTTTGGGCACTAAGCTGAGACTTTAAGGACTAGTAGGCATGGGCTAAGCCAAAAGTTAGAGATTTGGGGGCTGGCTGGAGGGATGGGTTTTCAGAGGGAGCTGTGTCTGCAGAGGTGCCGAGGAAAAACTGGCAGAGCGTGTTTAGAGATTGAAGGTAATTCCATACGGCGGTGCGTGGCATTCAGAGCCTGGTGGTGCAGTGGTTAAGAGCTCGACTGCTCCTTCAGGAACAAGGGAGAATGAAGAAAAGTGAAGACACAAGGGAAGATTAGTCCAAAGGACTGTTGGCCCACAACTCCCACGGCCTCCACCAGACTGAGTCCAGCACAACCAGATGGTGCCCGGCTACCACCACTGACGGCTCTGACCGGGATCACAGCAGAGGGTCTTGGACAGAGCTGGAGAAAAATGTAGAACAAAATTCTAACTTACAAAGAAAACACTTACTGGCCTGACAGAGGCTAGAGAAACCTCGAGCGTATGGCCTCCGGAGGTAATGAGGTCACTCTGGAGGTTTAACCTTCAGCCAAAGATTAGACAGGCCCATAGGACAAAACAAGACTAAAGGGCCACAACAGTCCAGGGGCAAGGACTAGAAGGCAGGAGGGGACAGGAAAGCTGGTAATGGGGAACCCAAGGTCGAGAATGTAGTATACTGACATGTCATGGGGTTGTTAACCAATGCCATGAACAATATGTGTACTAACTGTTCAATGAGAAGCTAGTTTGTTCTGTAAACCTTCATCTAAAGTTCAATTAAAAAAAAAGCTCAGCTGTTAACCAAAAGGTCAGCAGTTCAAATCCACCAGCTGCTTCTTGGAAACCCTGGGGGGCAGTTCTGCTCTGTCCTGTAGGATCACTATGAGTCAGAATTGACTCAGTGGCAACGGGTTTGGGTTTTTGACATGTCCAGAGAGTTCAAGTGTCAGATGGGGACCACTGGAGGAAGAGGAGGAGCAAGGGCAGAAACAGGCCAGGGCCAGATGCGATTGCCTTGTTTGAACCTTCTGTGGTTCCTCGTGGATGTCAGGGTACTGACATAACCAGATTCGCTTTTTAGAATGAGCTCTCTGGCTTCAGTGCACTAAAGGCAGAATGAAATGAAAGATGCCGAAACCCACCAGGGAGGAGGTGGCCGTTCCAGTAATTCAGGCAAGAGGTGGCCCCAAATCAGTTATTGGCAGTGGGTGGGAATTCTGAGAACTAGACAGCCCTGGTGCACAGTGGGGAAAAGCTGGGCTGCTAACCAACAGGTGGGCAGTTCGAATCTACCAGCCACTCCTTGGAAACTCTATGGGACAGTTCTGCTCTGTCCTAAATGGTCGCTATGAGTCAGTATCGACTTGGTGGCAACGGGTTTTGGTTTTTTGGTTAGACAGATTTGATAAATGTTGTCAAATCAATGTTCAACTCATGGCAACCCCGTGTAACAGAGTAGAACTGCCCCATAGGATTTTCTTGGCTGTAATCTTTACGGGAGCCAACTTTTCGGTTAGCAGCCAAGCACTTAACCGTTGCACCACTAGGGCTCCTTTGATAAATATTAAGGGAGCAGAATTAGCAAAGCTTGGTAGTTGATCTGATACAGGGAGTATGAGGAAGGGTGAAGAATTAAGGATGACACCCAGGTGTCTCACTTTGGTAGCTGGATGGATAGTATTGACACTCACTGAGGGAACACGAGGAAAAGAGAATTGAGAGGGACGGCGCTGGAAGGTGACAGTTGTACGGGGGTACATGTTGCATTTGAGGTATTTATAGGATGTCCTTGAGGAGATAGCCAAAATACATTCAGGTATGGGCAGCACAGATGGGGGATCCGAGTGACAGATGAAGTGGTTGGAGAGTTGTCAGCACTATGGCGCATCTGAATTACAGTGTTGGTGAAGAATATTGAATACACCACGGACTGCCAGAAGAATGAACAAATCTGTCTTGGAGGAATTGCAGCCAGAATACTCCTT